CTGTCTTGTTCTGGATGTTACCAACGGTGTCCCTTTCGCCCAGATCTCCTCCATGCTTTCTGGATAACAGTCTTGGAGAGGTCGTTGCTTTTTGCTCACTGATGTTCTTTTTTCTAATTTTTGCGATACCGATGCAGCTTCTGGATTTTGAGCATTTAATCTAGGCCCTTCCATGCTCATTTCCTTTGTCCGTCCATGGTCCTTACTTTTAACTAGCCCACTTCTTTTTTCTGGCCCAATAGGACTCATCCTTTGAAGCCCAAGTTCCTTAGCCAGCCCATAACTTTCATCCCTTTCAAATTCCCTCCCTGTTTCAATTTGATTACAACTTTCTTTTCCCGTTACACTATTCAAATTCGAATTTAAATCCATATCCTTCATTAATTGCTCTGAATCAGAACTCACATCATCGCCGTCACAAATCATGTCCATATCCAATTCAGGCTCCTCATTCTAACTCCATGCAACAGCGTAGTCATCAAACTCTGTTTTCTGGTCACTTTTTTTATCATTCTCCGACAACCACCAATCTGGATCAAAGCGCCACTCGTCCTCAACTATCTCTATTTCATATAGCTAATCTCCCACCTTCAGCTTAATTCCTTTTGCAATTCTACTAGACTCTGAACATAAAATCAGTACTCTCCTATCCCATAAGATTGATTTATTCTTTGTGTCCTCATGGATCATTAATACTTCTCCGACTATCTCACCTATCCTTTAAAAGCACCTCTTTCCCCATGCCTTTAATGGCACTCCCGATATACGCAACTAGACCATTCAACTTGTCTCCTCTGGTGCTGTCTCCCATGGTTTTATGGATTCAAACCACAAACCAAACAACTCTTCATTAATCTTCATATACTCAGATAAATATCCTACGACTCTTTTAGTTAATAACACTCGTCTTCCCCCAATTGGTGATAACGAGATTGAGCCTCCGTCTACATCAATACGTTCCTGAATCTCATATATCAAAGCCAGCGATCTCACCACTGCCACCATGCCACCCTCAAGCAAGTGCAACTCTTCACCCATAGGAGTATATTCAATAATTTTCTCCCTTTTTTCCACTACCATCTTCTCCTCAACCCTTTTTTTACCTCGTCCTTATCCGAAGTTACTTCTTTGTCCTTGTCTTGAAGCTGTATTGGTGCCTTATCATCCCTCTTTCCTTGTCCCTTCACTGCTTGTGCATATGATTGCCCTGGTTGGACCAACCTATTGATTTTACTCATTGATCCATTGTCCTTAATTGCACTTTGTAACTTCCTGGACTATGATGGTTTCCTTTGCCTATCATCTGCAATCTTCACTCTCATCTTATACGAGACAATCCAAATCTTGTTTAGCTTCCTCTCCATTTGAAACTCATTTTTAACCCCTGCCAGCCGCACAAACCCAAACCTCTTCCCTCGCTTATCACGTTTGCTCGAAACATACACATCTACAACTAAACTTGGCAATTTTTTACCCAACCCATTAACCCGTCCATTACCCGCCTGTTTAAAATGGGTTAGGATCATATATTTATGACCCGTGACCCGTTAATGACCCGTTAAGAGAACCCAATGGGTCACAGGTCAATAACGGGTTAACCATCGGGTTATCGGGTTTGACCCGTTTACCCGTTTAAAAATATAAAATTTTTTAATTTATTATTTATTTATTTTGTTTTTCAATTCCCAATCCCACC